GGGTTCCGTAAGCCATCTGGTTGGTTGGGTCCACTATTGGGGAAGCCTGAGGGGAAGAGACCGCTGGGGAGACCTAGACGTAGACAATCCGTCATCCACACTCCGGAAAATGACAAGAGTTTTATTTGTTCACTATAGCATTCTTGTTACTTCTTTGTTTCCGGTAAGGAGTAAAACAAAACGAAATTTGTATTAACTTAAGCCTGCAACAAAAACAGGTAGATACGTAAAACATTCCATACATATATTGTATCTAAGCAAATTGATAAGCTCTTGAAATATATTGTTTATTTCGTTAAAAATAAACTACTGATCCGAGATTTCATTTTAAAAATCCATCATTTTGTTCCCTTCCTTCAGTGAAATATATTTAAATCTTACTCCTGCTGTACGTAGTAGAAAGCTGCTATCTGCATTTCTACATACTAAAGGACCAAGTCTGCTGCTAATAAATTCATAAATTACCAAACCGGTCTTAAATCATCTATTATTATTATTATTCTTTAATTCATTCTCTATTTATTTTCTCCCCGAGCCAATATTCTGTATGATGGAAAGTGTTCTCCTTTAACAGAAATTACAGACTGCTTCGAAATGTTTTCAATATTTAGAATTCAAGCTTTATGGTTCTTATTTCCTCGATTTTAAGACGCACATTTTAAAATTTCTGAAATCGAGATGCATCTTACATTTTATGGCGTCTAAGATTCGATATAGAGTCTATCCTTCCTGAAAACCCTTCACAACATTCTCTATTTATTTTCTTCCCGAGCCAATATTCTGTATGATGGAAAGTGTTCTCCTTTAACAGAAATTACAGACTGCTTCGAAATGTTTTCAATATTTAGAATTCAAGCTTTATGGTTCTTATTTCCTCGATTTTAAGACGCACATTTTAAAATTTCTGAAATCGAGATGCATCTTACATTTTATGGCGTCTAAGATTCGATATAGAGTCTATCCTTCCTGAGAACCCTTCACTAAGTCAAGAATGCGTATTAAAATCGATGGCTTAAGGATATTTATATTCTGTTTTCATTTTCTGTTTAAGAACACATATCTTACCTCGAATATTTCGTGATTTTTTTTTCATATCCTGTTGACAGATTTTAATAGGCCTGGTGTTTATATAATAGGCCACGACCGCTTCGGGTAACATCCTTTCCAGTTTACCACCCACAGCCATTCTGCTATTAAACATGGCATAACCTGTGAAGCTGGCAAGAAGGAAGAATTTCGGTCGACTTCATTGTCTTTAATTCCCGTTGCCCTCACTAGGTCTTCCAATTATAGGGAAAAGAGTTCGTTTAAATTCAGCCTTTGAATTTGAATTCGGAAGGCAGAAGGCTTGACCCCAATGCATTCTAAACTATCATTCTTCACTCCGTCTCTCTCAAATCCGTTACCATGGCTACAGTCCCTCTCCTGCTACTCGTACTTCAAGATAAAACGATCAAAAGTACGGATTGGTTGAATGACGCGGATGCCAGAGTGACCGAACACTCGTTTTTGTGGAGACTCTGGTCGATTCTGTTGTATCACAGTCGCTTGGAGTTCGTCTTACTACAGTAAAACCCCTCTAGTTGGACACCCCTTTATCCTGGAACTTGGTCACCCCTTTTGTTGTAAGTTGGACATCTAATTGGCTTGTGTTTCATAACTCTCACTGCTTCGATATATCGAATCTTTCTATGAGACGCTCTGAACAGACGTGAAACAGACTTACAACTGCCAGTGACACCGCTCCATAACACAGATCTCTTTGTCTTTCAAACAAAAGTAATGCAGGGTATTACAGCTTAAAAATGAATCCACATATTCCACGAATGTCATAAAATTACATCGATATTATTTACTCAGAGTCCATACAAGTGAATTATTGCTCACTCTTCAGAGTAAACAAAGAACATCATTTCTGTTCGTCGCGTCTTTGAAACGGCCTCCTAAGATTTAGGCAATCCCAGGACGCTCTCAAGGAGCGAAGCGAACTCTGGGGTTTGCATTCTGAACCCCCATCCTCACCCCTCTCCGCAGTGCTTCCATCCTAGGCTTTGCCCCGGTGGAACTGAACCGCCCCTCGCCTCACATTCGGGCTCCATCTACAGAGCTCTCACTCCCCATGCAACCTTGACTGTACCTTCGCCATTCTACCATTTCAGGTTAGATCATCCAGACCTTGAAAATCCGCGGATTGCCTCCGACGGGATTTTACCTCGAAAGCGTAGTTCACACCTCCGTAGTTTTATAGACAACATTTTTCATCCCCACCCCCCGCGAGGGCCACCAGGGGCTTCGACCAACCAACGAGGGAGGTAGGCCACAACCGTGAACTGAACACCATGGAGAAACTCACGGGGTATCTCCTGAAGCAGTCATGTCCACGTTTCCTTTCCAGTGGCCTGCCGTTCGTGACATTCATAATTCGTCGTTTGACCTAGATGGACTTAGACATCCCTGGGATTCGCGACTTCCGTGATATTTTTAAAAATTATTACCTTAGATCGCATTGTTGCAACAGTGACCTTCCAACTGATACTATTATTGCATTGTTGTTCCTGTAGTTGCAATGCTGACGTCATTACGTCGATACTGAGTTCATAACACCTGTGGAATTTTAGTTTACTGCACTGAGTAAACATTTCCTACATTGCATATCGGTGGGAAAGGTTTGAATCGAACCCGTCACCTTTTGAATACTGACGCACTACACAAATCCCATCTGGAAAAGTTCCGGGTCATTTATAAAGGTTAAAAGTCAAACTATGGTGTCTGTAATGGGTTATTGGACGCAGCCGGCCAAGACCTTGGATCTCCCCACCCGTTTTACTGCCGTACGCAAAAATTGGGACCTTTTGAGTAACGGAGCTGTATGGTTCGCTGTTCACAAAGGCAGCCATGAGAATTCCCAGATATTCACAATTGTCAGACGTAATTGTCTGCGGAACGCACTACTTCTATTACGCAATACTTACATTTTATAATTCGCTAGCGCTACTGGCAGCGGTGTGGTCGATTTCTGAATCATTTGGGTTATTGGATTACTTTCTGCTCTCGGCGTGTGATGGCGGTGGGAATGCCTTAGATAGAGTCCCAGTCGAAGTGGCACAGCTGCAGGAAGACTTTTTTCGGTAGGATCTGAGGTCCTCACGGCAGTGAGTCTGAAGATGGTTGTGTTCTGAGTTGTTACGCCGTGTAGTCTGGTAGAGGTACTAGTAGCCATTGTTGATGTTCATATAACAGCCTATTTTCTGTATGTATAAACATGTTCCTTTGTAGACGATACAGACCACGTGTGTCACTGTACCATCAGCGTTATCAGCGCCACCGACTGCAGTGCGTCATTTTCAACAACTGCAAGGCTATATGAAATCATATAAGGTAATTTTATGCTAATTCCAAGTTACGAATGTTAATTAAATAATATACCCATGATGAAAGAGTTTCAAGGCCCGTATTTGTCACAAAACGCATGACATTTCACTCATGAATATTAATTTAAACTTACGTTAACAAATTTACATAACCACAAAAAGTCACAAATTTCCAGAATTTTAATAAAGAAGACATTAATATTACATTTGTACTATAAACCTAAAAGACTAAACTATTCAACTTCGGGCCCAGTTTAATAAAAAAGATGGCAACACTGCCCACAATCAACAAAATATAAAATAATTCCTACTTCGAACTGTGTTTGAATGTTGACATTTTTAAAACAATTTTTCATATAAATATTCAAAAATAAAGTTCACTTTACAATCTAACACACATTTGAATTGTAGCAACATACCGCATGCATGTTACACGAGATAAACAGCACTTAATTGATGTCTAAACACGTCTCGCAGTAATTTGAACACCAGCACCCCCCCCCCCCCCCCCCCCCCCGCCTCCTTTTTAACGAAGTAACTGAAACTGGAAGAAATTTAGGTGTGTTATGAAGTTTAGAATCTTGTTAAATCTTCAGGGTACAGATATCGATTAAATAATGAAGCCAACTCGAACGTACAACAAACAACTGCACGATGAACAGTTCCCACTCTCATCCTTTGAAGAAAACCACCCTTGTCTACCCTTTCTGTTCTAAGTGACACTAAAGGCAGGAGGAAGATAATGGCTATGATAGATGTAATAAAGAATTGAGTTCTGTACCAACGTGTTAAAAGGCACTAGGAGAAAGAATGGATACGTAAAATACAATTCTCAGATGTGGTATTCTGGGCTACGAATCCATGAAATTTATTATGTGCTTACAAACGATTCAGTGTCTCACAGAAACTTATAGGCTCCATCATCATCTCTCTCTTTCTCTTTCTCTCTGTTTAAAATGGAGGCCGCACGGTCCTCAGAAACATTGATAACCACCTACACGATTGCTCATATTCATAATGCAGAAGATCTCATTCCATATTTTCACCTCCATGGAAACCTGAGATTTCAGAAAGAGGCAATTTGCAGTTATCACTCACATAGTCTGTAACAAAAACAAAACATTAGGCACTTCGGGGGGAGAGCAGGAATAGCTCCTAATCATTCTTGACATTGGCACTAGATGGGGTAAGTAGTCAGGATCAGGCCCCGGCCGCGCTTTAATACCTCCGGAGACTGGGTGGGCTCCAAAACCAGTCTGGACACAGAGGCGAGAGGAAAAATCTTTGCCCCGTAGAGATCGAATCATTTTCGTCCAGTCCGTAGTCAGTCACTGTACTGACTAACTTATACCGGCTCATACATCATTTGTAAAACAGATAAAACATACTCGATGCTGATATATGATATGTACCAGGCGAAATATTCCACTTGGCGCCAGTTCGGTGGGTTTTCATTGAAACAATTTAAATTTTTGGATAACAGCTGTACTTACCTACGTTACTATCTCCGTGGCGTCCTTTTTCTTGCCCATGTATTACCATCTTACACAGAAATTTGTGAGTGTACTCTCAATCTGCCATCTGGTGCCGTGCACTGCAATTAAATGTACACCATCAAAGTTGAAGTAACCATGTCCAGCGAGTACTGCGATTTTATTCTCTGTGATTACAATTTTCTTGAATTAGCTCAACATGTTGGCGAAGTATGTGTGTGAATTATCAGAAGGGATTTTGTTAAGAAACTGTGGCGGTAGCCTCTCCCATTTTAGAAATGGATATGAAGGTAGTATACTTTTTCAGTAATAAACACAATCTGCACATGCAACACTTCGGAGAAGTGACAACTATAATCGTATAACCTATTAATCTAACCTTTACAGTGTGTGTGTGTGGTCAGAAGATAGGTAGATTTTTTAATACAATAACTCGAATATCTATTTTACTAGACCTTTAACTGGAATAGTTACACTGTGAAGTGTAGATTACTTTCTCAAAGTCGTGTGACTTCAGACGCCAACTATAGTACACTATTGAGAAGCTCTTCTTCAGAAGTTAATAGACACTCAGCTAGTCAAGAAATATAGCGGTTTTTATAGAACTAAAACATTCATTGCCATGTTCACTACAACCTCTTTCCAATTCTGAGACATTAAAACCAGCCAACACACTCATACTCTACTTAATTAATCACAGTCCCTTGAGATTTTCCAAGTAAAATTTTATATGCATTTCTCTGCGTCATGCATGCTGTATGCTCCATCCATCTCATCCTCGTTTTGATCAGCCAATAATATTTCAAGGAAATTTGATGTTTTCTTGTACTATAATCTTTATGATTTAGAATACAAGATGGATGACAGAAGATCGTGAACTGAATTGTACCAAGCATTCCCCAAATTCAACCTGCTTTTAATGCTAAAGGTTTTCGTTTTGGTCTAAACTTCTTATGATTGTTTCCAGGCATCCGTTTTCTATTTTCACCAGCTGCTATAGGATTGGACAACTACAGCAGAATGAGGGACAGAACAAAGACACAGTTTGTCAACCTGACTGATAAATTTAAGTCCAAAATGTTGGAGTTCTCAGATCCAAGTTCAACAAATATGATTTTTACAGAAGATCTAAAAAATATGATCCATTTGGCTGAAGATTCAGGAGATGATTTAGATTTAGTATACAAGATGATGACAAGGTATGTTATAAAAGCTTCATCATTCTCAAAAAGAGACAGAAAATTGCAGAACTGGATCTTTATAATATAATCAGTCTCAAAAAGAGACAGTAAATTGCAGAACTGGATCTTTATAATATTCGTGTTAATTAATTATGTAATGCAAGTTCCAGATGAGAGTTAATCTTTTGCACATAAATAGAAGAATACACAGACATGTTTGAAAATAGATATGATGAAATCCTATTTATGTTTCTAATAAAATCAGTTGATGGATGTGAAAAACCTTGGTGCTTGATGCGTGGTTATAATTGCAATGCAAGTGGACTTGAATTCCATTTTTGAAAAACTATTGGAGGTGTAAAATCAAAGTAATTCAAATGCCATTTTAAATATTGTGTTAACGCAGTATTCTTCTGTGTTGAAATTAAGGATGATAATACTCAATGTGTAATAAATATTTGTAATTTTCTTCAGTAACCATTATTATGCAGGAATAACTAACTAACTAACTAGATG